AATGTATAAAATGAGAACATAATTTACACAAAAAAATGAAGAAGAGAAAAAGAATGAGTTATATATCTCTATTCTTTTAAATAAGAGAAGATAATCAATTTCGCAAGTAATATAATAATTACGTTTTGTTATTCACTGTGAATATTACTGAAAATCTATGAATAGTTCACGTTATATTATTATATAGGTGTTACTATTATATAAGTTTTTATACTTATAGTGAATAATAAAAAATCGCAGAAAAAAATAACTTTACACGTCGAACATATACACATATTTCCTTACTAAATTTAGTTCAATTATATCATTTGGAAGCCACATTCAATGTCTCCAAACTAAAAAGAAGTTATAAAAAATAATATCAACATATTTCCCAAAACGAAGTAAAGAACACTCATTTGTAAAACTGTGTAATGCTGTGTAACCTGATATGCTTTTATGACAACGCAGTAAACACTATAATGACCAGTAGCTATGTTTATACGTCTAATTATAAGCAGACTGCGAAGAAGGAATTTTTTTGACAACGTTCTCAGAATACAATGCAAACTGTATAAGATATCGTAATATTCTACAACCCCCCATATTCCATAACCATCTTCTTTCTTCTAGTAAATAACATTTAAACAAAAAGAACTGTATCCATTTATTTCTTTCCTTGAAATAAATTCGCAAATTTCGCCTCCAATCTAATTATACAAATCTTCTTATTCTCTCTTAAATTCTAATTCTCTGACAAATCAAATGAATATATTTTCACTCACAGGATAGTAGCTTAAAATATCCTTTTTTTTTATCTTGAAATAAATATTACTGTATTGCTGGACATTTGCATGCCATTATATGCTGAAGAAAAGTGTATTCGTATTAGTAAAAAGAAAACTTTTAATAACAGTATTAACGAGATAAGAAATCAACGAATCGAATCGTGATAAAATTATACAACCAAAGGTTCTCAACCGACTTTTTTTTTCTTTGTGATATTTTACGCGTCAGTAACCAACAACTCTTTTTCACCATAAAAATGCCGAGATATCCGATATTCGGTAATATAAAGAAAAAAATGAATATACTGGATATAAAAATACAAACGTGAAAAGAATTGTAATGAACAAGTAGCTCGTATGTCACTTTCGAGACATATTCGGAACATATTTAGTTCCAACAATATATTTCCTAGATTTTAATAATTCAGATTTGTCAATTAGATATGATAAAACATGTCGGATTTTTTAAAGTAAAATATGACAATATGTTCAATATATTCCATGGACAATGTACATATGAGCTTGTACATATATAGCTTCTGGACTATTAAGAATAATTTCAGTAGTTAAGGTAAGTTGACCGAGGTAAATGGCCTAAAGTGCGATCTATAGTCGTATAGGACGATCGTAAAATTTACAAATTGCCAATTTCTGTGCGTCAAAGTGCATTGTAATCTCGTAACATTTCATCTCTTAAACTATTGCGCGCGATTTTACGATTACCTGGGCTACGTTCAGAAATTACGCCCATATAATTCTAAGCTATAGATTACGTTACGTATATTATAGCAAAAATGTACTCTGGAGTTATCTAGGCATAATTCCTGAACGCAGCCCTGTACTCAAGGAAGAATCAAACATGCAAAAAATCAATGTATGTACTGAGCGCGAATACCTCGAAAAGTAGATGTGTTTTCGTTCCCGTAACAAAAAACGCGAAAAAAAATAATAATAAAATATATGATAAGAAGAAATTTGAGAATTTGAGAACAAAAGAGAATACAAAGAGGGAGACAGAGAGAAGTGGAGGGAGAGAAGAGAGAGAGAGAGAGAGAGAGAGAGAGAGAGAGAGAGAGAGAGAGAACTAGAAGTGGAAGTCAAATTAGAAGACACATTACAAACATCGGATGCATTGGTCCTTTTAAATTTGAATTGGTATCGTAACGTAACACAATTACTAGAAAGAAAAATAATAGTTTCCTGTATCCGAATGTAGGCGAAGCAAAGAAGAAAATTGATTTCCAATAGAAAGTTACATTTGACAGATTTCCTATACAATCATATTCTTTTTTTCCGATTTTCTTTTTAATTTAAAAAAATAGTTTAATATTATGAGCGTCCTTATGAGTCTGATTTTTCTACAATCATGTTGCGTTATGATGAGTGATCTCTCTCATTCTTTTATATTTTCTACTCTTAATAAAAGTCCGATCATATCTAGTCTCGTTGCAACTTTTTATGAAATTATATTCATTAAAATAAAATAAATATAAAATTCATTAATTGCTAAGCATTAAGAGGAACCGAAGATGAACAAAATATATATAATAAATATTTAAGAAATAATAAATAATCTATTCTCTAATAATTTGAAAAGATAAATATAAGTACGTTTCATTTATACTTATAATTAGTCTTTTCGAGCAAGATAAATCATAAAAAAATAATAATAATAAGGATATTGACATTTTAATTAAATTTAAAATGTTGAAATTTGAACAATAAAGTAATAAAATTATAATAAAAAAATAACTATCACTAAGTCGAACAATAAAACTAAAACTAAACAAGTTCCAAGAAATAGTAATATAAAATTGCAATATTAATTCATTAGAATTTGATTGAAAGAAAAGTCAGAGGTAAAATATACGTGTCTGATAGTTTTTCGTTAGTGTCTTAGATATTTCTATTAAATCTCAAAGATGACTATCATGTTATCACAGAAAAATTGATTATGCAATTTCATATCATCGACTTTTGGAGTATGATTGATTTTATCATTTGACTTGATGACAGTCATTTTATTATAATTTTATTAATTTGGTGGTAGCTTTCAATGTGGTCTCTTATTGTCTTCGTATTTACACTATTTTAACATACATTTATTTTGTACTTTGTCTATTTGTTTATAATCTGTTTATTTTTAATTATTGTTAAAATTTCTTCTTTAACGTTACATTATTATTATCAATGTTTTTATTATTACTTTTCTTTTGATTATTGTTTATCTAGATGATGAAAACTTATATAATCAAAACGTATCTTTGTCTTTCTAAATATTAGAAAATAAATTATTTATGATTTCTTAAATTTAATTTAACTTTTGCTTTTTTACACTTTATTCTATTTGCTTTTTATTCGGTTTTGTAATGTTTATAGAATGAAGAAATTCGAATTGAAAAGTGAGAAGTACTATAAAAATAATAACTAATATGTAAATATGCTTTTTACCTACGTCTTTGTTTATGCGTAGTTTCCGATATACACGTATGTAATGCTTATTTAAAAGTAATACAATTTCCAGCAAAATTAAATTTCCTTTTCGCAAAATTACAATAATATTTTTATTAAATTATATCCATTGAAAAGAGGAAACAAGTAAAATTATAAGTTTTTATTTCCAAAATTAAAAATAATTTTAAAAATATATACATCTTTATGCGTTAAAGTTACACTTTTATAAAATTCCGTTTAAAGTTTTTTTCTTTTATCTTCATATTTGCTTTCTCTCTCTCTCTCTCTCTCTCTCTCTCTCTCTCTCTCTCTCTTTCGATAAAATTTTTACCTCTTTTAAGATAATATCTTTATCTTTTAATTTCACATTTGTAGTGAGTGTAAAAAGTATTCGTACAAAGAAAATTTTTATAAAAAAGCCTTATTTATAGAAAATAAATATTAATTAACAATTTTATACAATTAACAATTTTATACATTCTGTCCTAAACAAAAGAGCTTCATGTGTTCTGGATTTTAGAAAATAAATTTTTCGATTATATGAACACTTTCTATGCACTCAAATAATATGATTTTTTATTTTCGTTCATTTTTAAGAAATAAATTTTAATTATTACATCTTTTTGGGTAAAATAATTTTGAAGAATGAAAAATATAAAATCAATTTTATTTTTTGCTAATAAATTGTTAATTAATGCTTGCTTTTTAAAAATAAAGTTTTTGAAAAAGATATCTCCCTATATACGAATACTTTTTGCACTCACTATGTATACATTTATATCATAACAGATTATTTTAATTTTAATACAGTGTTAATAAGAATTTTAATACAGTGTTAATAACAGATTATTTTAATTTTAATACAGTGTTAATAAGAACACTTAATAAAAATACACTTAATAAAAATACACTTTGCATTACGCTAAAGATTATATATTGTAAAATAAATATAAAAAGATACATTTCTAATATAGCTCGCCAGGTTATTTCATATTTTATGTGATTCTTGGCTTTTAATGACAGCATTGAATAAATTCATTGTTGTTGTCAGTCATTGTCTAATGTTATATCGAATAAATTTAATCGAATTTCTTGATTGCATAATTATAGAAATTTCTTTTTTTACGTATATATAGAAACTTATATATGATAATGTGATTTTCTTGTGCTCGAAGAAATACAAGCAATTGCAAAAGGAATTTTAGAAAATAATGGAGCGAATTAAGTTTAACATTGTCTTCTTAATAGTATTATCTTAAATAAACATAATTTGAAGATAGTAAGTTACTACTAGCGAGTACGCACAGAATACATAACTTTCGATTAATGAGAATCGAAAAAAAGAACGTAAAATCTCTCTTTTCGCGCCAAGTAATCGCGTATCGAATTTTACGATTGTCACACGTCGATTTATTTTGCGATCTTAATTCCACACATTAAAGACTTTCAAGAACTTTTAAGATTTTTAATAACCGCACTTAAAGAAACCATGAAGAAAATCAAAGAAGAAAATCAAATGCTAAAACATTTCATTCATTTCACATTCCTATATTGGAAACAGATTTTGCATAAAGTGACGATTAGATATTGTTTCTTATTATTAAAACATTCTAAACATATTGAAGATAAGACAGAAATAAACGTTACAATTTTGGATAGGAAAGTGTCTGTTTTACACAGGGAAACGAAGACGATATGCGTGATTCATGCAAGTTTGAACATCCGGCTCGTATTTGAAAATTTCATGAAGGCTAGAATGATCAACGTTTTTTTACTCACCGGATAATTCTCGTTTTTGGGCGAATAATCGGGATAATCGATATTGATAGTATCATCACTCGTAGTACTCCTCTTCCCGATGAAACATCCAAAACTACCAGTAATTATCGATACCACAGCCACCACGACCAACAAAATGAAGCTAATGCCCATATTAACGGTGTGCAATCTTGAATCCTATCGCCGAATGTTATGTTGAAGCTATCTCAGCTTACGACATGCGGCGATTGAGGCCGGATTTCCAGAAAGGAGAAATCGGTTCGCAACGATATCCGATCGCGCAAAAGATGTCCCTTGACCTGAGAACCAGCCCTGATATCGGATACCGGAAGACGAGGCTATCTCTCGATGTCACAGAGACGTCTCTTCGATCCCGGTCGATCGGGCGCGACGTGGCGTTCTTCGAGGTGGCGCCGATCCCTCGGTTCGGAGCTGGGAGCACCGACCGCCACTGGGGGTGTCGGGACTTCGGCGAAGCTGAAGGACGTACGTCGGGGGATGCAATGTGACGCTGGCGGTGGGCAACCACGCTCCTATATACTTCGCTTCTGCACGCAGGCGCCCGCGCCGGTACTTTCCCGGCGCGCGTAAGAAAGACAAAGACTCGCGCGAGGAGACCGACCGCGTGTCTACTTGAAAGGCGTCTTTTCCACTGTTGCGCTTCCGCCGCGCGGGTATGTCAAGTTAGGCAGCAGATTGGATTCGAGAGAGAAGGGTTACTCTTTCCTTCCTCAATGAAAGATAATTATAATCAGCCTCTTTCTCAAATAATATATACGACTTACATGAAGTTAATGAAGAAACAGAAATTATAACAGTATACAAGTTTTTTTGCTTACCCTTAAGTATAACGGATGATAATTAAAAGTTTTCTTTTTCTTTATGAGTTCGAAGAAAAGTATTCTTTTTCTTTGAAAAAGCGGCTTGCACAAAGTTAGTGAAAAGATAAGTCGAATAGGAAGTTACTTGCTTATCTTTTTTAATTCTAAACTGCAACATTCCGAATGCGTTTATTGCGCATTTTAACAAAAGTATCATGTGAGTGAAATGTTCCTTCTTTTGATTGCGTAATAAAACATTTAGCAGAATGTTTTGTGTGTGTGTGTGTGTGTGTGTGTATCTGAAAAATTAATTAAACCATTATTTGTATTAATTAATTAATGCTTACAAGTTAGAAGAAGACTTTAACAATCGCAAAATTAATGAATTGATATTATCTTTCTTTTTTAAGAAGATTTTTGCGTTTGATAAAATATAAGATAATTCTATAATATATACATGTATTATCTAATATCAATAATAAACAAATATTATCTAATATCAATAATATCTAGAAAAAATTTCATTGATTTTTACCATTTTGAAGATATTTAATTCTAAATAGAATTTTACTTTACAAGTTGAAGGTATAAACCTGAAGGGAAGGTATATAACCTTATTCTGTAGTTATTCTCTTTTAAATTGAGACACTTGCATATAAGACAGCAATTTAAAAATCGTTATAATTATAAAATAAATACTAAGCTTGTTCTCGTAAAATTTCATTTAAACCGACCGTACAGTTTACAAGAAATTTATATTCTTCAATAAAAAAATCTAGAATATAAAATGGTCAAATGGACGTTGTGTACATCAAAACATCTTACAATTTTTATTTTGTCATTTTATGAAAATATTTAGCAGCATATAAAGTTACTAATAATTTTGTATAATGGCATAAGATATTGTTAGTAATTTTTTTATTCCATTATTTTAATTGTTTTACGTATTATTATGAATAAATTTCTGTCTATTGACTAGAAAGAAGCGCGATAATCTTCTTTAAGAAAAGTGCATATCTTGTTATTATATTTTGATCTGTATAAATATTGAGTTTACATAGATAAAGCTACAATAACAAGATAAGTTGTGCAATAAAAATTTTTAACTTATTTTTCTAATAAAAAGTTATTAAAATATTTATTTCCTTTTAGAGGTAAAGTCAAACAATAAAATAAAATCGAACTAATCAAAATAAAATTAAAATATTATTATCTATTATTATTAGACTCTGTTTCACTAAAAAAAGATAAAGCAAATAGTATATTTTCAAAAATTATGGTCTTTTTATTTTTTAGACAAATAAAAGTTTCATTATAAAAATAAAATCTGCTTTATCTTTGTTCATTCCCCAAAATAAATAAATTTTCACAGATCAAAATTAAGAAATTATATAAAGATCATTGAGTTACAACAATTTACCATATTTAACTTGATGCCTTACGTGACTCTTTTAATTTTAAATAGTCCGTATTTCAATAGGTTTTTGATGGTATAATTGACAGGTGTAGTTGGGAATAAAGGTGTCGTGTCGAGCTGAGGGAACAAAGTCGATGATTCAGTGGAGAAGATAACTTTAAAGATGAAAATTCATTTCTATTTCTATTATAATTTATCACAGAATTATAAATTAATT